ATATATACAATATATTGTACATGTATATGATAGGGGTGTTCATGTGTGCGAAGCTGCCCAGACCCACCCATGAAAAGAACACACACACACACACATATATATATATATATATATACATGTACACACATGTACATACACATACAGGTACATCACTGTACGTGTATATAACTAACTGCATACAGACAGCATCATCACGAAAAACATCTGCGTGGGTGTACATGTTTGTAACATGCACAGTATTGTAGATGCCATATGTCAGGGCAAAGCACTGAGACTGTTGAGCACGACGTCGATTCCATCCACTCCCTGCTCCTGCACTATAAATGAGTCTGCTACCGATGCGACACGCTGAACAACGCCCAACAACAAGGCGAGCATGAGGCAGACTTCAAAGAAGAGCACCACGTCTCGACTGGCAATTCTGCTTTCCGGAATTTTTCTAACTGAGACGCCTTGAGGAGCTGCTTCATGTCATCCTCGAACTTCTGGCCGTTTCTACTGCTGGTGATGTATTTCACCTCAACGGCAGAGGGAACAAATTGTGTGCCCCCGTTGCTCAAGCTACAGTGAGAGTGAGGTCTTGGATTGCTTGCTGTCAAGCTGCACCCAGCCCTCTCAAGAATTCATGTTTTTCGTCTGCTCCGGCAGTGGCATAGACCTCTGCACCGACGAAGGCAGCGTACCTTTTGGAGATCAGGATCCCTACCACAGCATGTGGAAAAGCCACGCATGAAATCTGAAAGGCACGCTCAAGAGTGGTTCTGTAGAACAAGCATGAGCAGTTGCATTCCATTGACTTCCTACTCCCTCTCCTGCGGCTGCTCCTGGCCCTCCTTTTTGTGCTGCTGCTGCTGCTGCTGCTGCTGCTGCTGCGGCTGCCGCAACTGCCACTACTGCTGCGACTGCTGCTACTACTGCTGCTACGACGACTACCACTACCGCTACCCCTGCCCCTACCCCTCCGCTACCGCTACTGTCACTGGCACTGCCACTGCGACCGCCACTGTTGCTAGTACTACGACCACTGCGAATACTACGGGCACTGACACTACTAGACTGGCTGTTACGACTACGACGACGAAGCCGACGACGACGTCTACTCCGACGACGACGACGACTACTACTACTACTGCTGCTACTGCTACTGCTAGTACTACTACTGCTACTACTACTACTACTACTCCTCCTACTACTGCTATTGCTATTTTTTGAGAATGGAAGGCTGTACATAACCACCACCACCACCGCCGCCGCCACCACCACCACCACCACCACCACCAGCATCATCGTCATCATCAACATCGTCATCGCACTCATTCTCATGGTCACCGCCAGTGTCGTCGGCATCGTCGTCATCAACATGAGCATAAAGGGTTCATCATCATGAGCAGTGCCTAGAGTGATCACAACCATGAGAATGGCATGATGCCTCCAGCTTAGAGCTTAGGCACTGGATGGCCACCAGGCCCACACCCCCAGCTGCTGCGTGGATGAGGACTCGCTCGCCGCGCTTCAGCTTGGCAAGGTCGCCCAGGGCCTCCTCTACGGTGACGAAGATCACCGGCATACAGCAGGCCTCGCAAGACGACTCTTAGTGCAGCTTTGGAGGGGGGGACGGCTTTATGCACGCGACCCCGCCTCCTCGTAAGTCCAGGACGTGGGCTTTGGGGAGAGTAAGGCTGCGGAGCTTGTGTTGTAAGTGCTGAGGCACCCGGGCGACTCGCCAAAGATGTCCTCTGCCAGTCGCAGGTGCGGCACATTGTCCCCAAGGCCAATGACTGTGCCACCGCAGTCTGCACCAGGTGGACCCGGATCCCCAGGGTAAAGCCCCATGACATTCAAGACATCACGGAAGTTCAGACCGACTGCACGAATGCGCAGCTGTGCCATCCCTGGTGCTGCAGCTACTCGTACCGAAGTGTCGGCTTGAGGAACCACTCGCAGACCAGTAAGGGATCCACGAGCGGGCATGTTCAGTCGCACCGCTCCCGTATACTTCACAACAGATCGCACCAGCTTTGCAGCACTCATCTCTCCATCTCGGATCGCGATCTCCTCTTCCTCTGCTGGCAAGGCCGGCAAGATGTCTGTGGAGAGCTGGGCCCAGGCATCGGATTCTTTGCTTGCGTCCAAGTCAACGCATGTAACCCGGAGTGCTCCTGACGGCGTGGAGCTCGGCTCAGGGCAGCGGCTGCAAGACTGCAAGGCTAAATGGGCCACTACGACTAAGATCGCTATCAACATCGTCTGTCCTACTTTCATCATGCTATCATTCTTAAGATGACTATTGCCGCCATCTTTTTGCATTATGAACAACATCTTCACAAGCCTTATTGAGATCATCATTTGCTGCCGCTACCATGATGTTGGAGCGAAGCTTTGCCTGGGTATTCCATTCGCACAGCACGTGCGAAGCCCCACAGCCCACTGTGGTCCGGTGCACCTTCAAGAAGCAATGACAAGAAGCGAAGACATGCTCCGTGCACAAACGCATTTACTGACTTGCATGTGTGCTTGCGTATTTGTTACTGTGTATACACAACCTCTCCATGCTATATGGTCCTAGGATACATACAGACATAGATACACACATGAATGCATAAATACATACACGCACACACATACATACACACATGCACACAAGTGCAGCTCAATGCAATAACCTACAATACACTACCCTATCATACAAAAAACACACACAAAACAATACCATGCATGCATGCATGCATGTGTGCATACACACACTACACCACACTACTTTACACTACATTACACTACACTACACTACACTACACTCCGCTACCGCGCCATGCAATACAATGCAATACAATGGGATGCGATGCAATGCGATGCCAGACGACATACCAACACGGTGCAATGCAATGCAATGCGATTTGATGCAATGCAATGAGCGCAGTGCAATGTAATGCGATGGAATACCATACCATGCCGTACCATACAATGCAACACAATGCAACACAAAACAATGCAATACGGGACAGTGTGGTCCAATGCATGCATGCATGCATGCATGCATGCATGCGTGCATGCTCAGTGCCGAGCCATAAACCCGAAACCCCAACCATGAGGACACCGGAATCCTAAGCCCAGAACCCCAAAACCTGTATCCGAAAGCCCTAAACCCCCCCCCCTCCCCCAACCCATCCCAGAACCCAAACCGCTTTCTCCTAAAGTCTCCTCACCCTCCCCTAAGTTCAGGGACCCCCGGATCCCTCAGTTTGGGAAGCTCTGTTTTCCGGGCCTCGCCGCCGCTTCTCACTCGGCTCTGCTGCCAGCGGCTGAGCTCCGTAGGTCGGCAAGACCACCAAGGGAGCCTAGGCTTATTCAAGTTAAGGTTTAGGGTTTAGAGTTTCAAGGGGTTAGGAGGGCATTTCGGGTTTAGGGATTTAGATGGGTTCCGCCTCAAGGCTTAGGCCCTGCTTTTGGGGATTTTGGCATTCGAGGCTTTCACGACCAGGAGCCTTGCTTCCCAACTTCGCGGCTGCCTGCAGGCACAGGCTGTGATGTCCCCACAAATACCCCCCCCCAAAAGGAGTGATTCTGCCATGGCTATATATGGTACAGCATCATATCCACAGCACTATTGCGAGTCATAACGATGCTCATCGCCACAAGTGCCATACTAGCAATCCTAGCAATAACACGTAAGACAATGCAGACCATGTCCATAGCGCGAGGGAGAGAACTCTCGTTTTGAGCAGGATGTCGGGAAGTGCAAGCTGCGACCATGCACGAAACCGCATGGCTCCCAGCTGCAGGCCTTGGTCAGGACCATAGCCCGCTCCAGAACACTCACGTCGCTGTGCTCGCCACCTTCACGTGCCGAGGACCGTGCGAGGTGAATCTATGAAAGGACGCTGTAAGCGGACTTGACTGACCCATTACTACATTACTATCATGTTATTGTCATTATTGTTATATTATTCTCATTTGAGGCACCAGTTACCATCACAATGTAGCCCACACACAGAAAGTCTGACTTCTCCGACCTGGAGCAGCTGAGTCTGCAGGAGACTTTGCCCAAGCGCTGCTGCTGGCATCCGTGGCCATCAAGCCATCGGCCAAAATCACGGCGCTCCAGGTCTCTTCGGTGAGAAGCCCAGGCAGATCCTCCGAAGATCAGTGAAGGTACGAGGAAAACACCCAGAAAAATCGCAGCTATTCCCCAAAACCCGAAAAATCCTGGGCCTCGGCCTCCAGATCCAGCTCCACACATCGGCACCGTGGATCTGCTTCGGCTGCCTTCAGCTTCTTTAGGCCCAAAGGGCTGCCGAGGAGCAGCCACCGCGACTTCGCAGCGGGGTCCTGCCACCAGCGTAGACGCGGATAAAAAACGGCGCAGAGCGCATGAAAAGATGTGAAACTTTGGAGGGTTTGGCAGCGTTTGTAGAGCACTTAGCCAGAGCCTGAGCTGGAGTGGGTCGCCAGCTGACATCGTAGAGCCTGAGATCACCAGCTGCTGCCGGATGCGGCATCTAAAGTCTTACACTCACCAAGAGGCATCTGCTGCTCCATGCCTCCCAGGCACCAAAAACCATGATGGCTACTACTGGCGAAACGTCGGCGTGACTACCCGGAAGTCGTCCAGCTAGGGGTGTTCTTTACAGATCTTTACAGTCACCATGGGCAAGCCGAGATCCAGGCCTTGGCGTCCCGAAGCCTGCAAAACCTTCTGAATGTGCTTATCGCCTGAGAGTGCGCAGAAGGGTGCACGAAGGCTTAGGGCTTAGGGTGTATAAGGTCTACATCAGAGTCTCTCCACACTCCGGGGCGGCCACGAACCTCCTGCAGGTGGACATGGTCGAAGTAAAGCAAGGCCTCACCTGCCCCGAGCTGCGACACTCGAGGTGTGGGCTGACAACATACCGAAAAATAGGACACCTACGACTGTTAATGTCAGGCCCCTAAGCGAAAGACACCCCTTCACAAAAGCAATGCTCCCCAGCTGTCATCCTGCCTGCGTCGTTCAGAAGCCATGAGCGGAAGACGGTAGACTTGTCAGTGAAGTCGATGAGCTGGAAGTATGACCACACACCGATAGAAAACCTGAGCCCACAAAGACCGCATACAGCGTGATTGAAGTTGGCACTGAACTTGCAACATCGGCTGTAACACGTCATTCATGCATAAATCAGTACTACCGTTGCACTTGACTTGAACCAGCAGCAGCAGCAGCACGAGGAACAGTAGGAGTAGTAGCAGCTGTCGTCGTTGTCGCCATCGTCATCGTCGTTCTCCCTGTCGTACTAGCACTACCCAGCAGTTGCAGCAGCAGCAGCCATAGTAGCAGCAGTAGGTAGTAGGTGCAAGAAGTCGTCGTCGTCGTCGTCGTC